TAAAGCTAAACCCCAGGAGAATTTTTGGCCTATGTGGGGTTTTTGCAGTCTGCTGAATGCAGGATGTGGACGCTCTCCGCTCACCAGATTTTAAAACAATCCCCAAAATAGCTCTGCAGGATTCAAAGCCTGTAAGCAGTGGGTAAGTTGCATTAATTGGACATTAGTTAGTGGGTAGTTGCGTTAACAGGGCTCTGAGTTTAGTTTAAAATCTAATAATTCCATGGGATTATTTGAAGAGTTTGGCCCCTTCCTCCCTACATTCTCCCCTCAGGTATTTGTGTATGTTGATCAAATCCCCTCTGATCACTCAGTCTTATTCTGATAGTAGTTTCGGATTCCCCTAATCAGCTGGGGGAAACCTGGGTGATCTGCAGATTGGATCAGAGGAGATGCATGAGGGTGACAACGTTTGTCATGGGGCAGAACAGGTGGCTGGGACCTGTGGCCTGGAACCAGCAACTGGTTCCAAACCCAGGTTTTAATCTCTGTGTCTATTAGAGGTCTTTCCCAGAATGTCACTCGCTGTCTTTTTCAATATTTTGGTCCAAAGTGCACTAAGACCAAACCTTCTTGGTTTCTTGCCTGCTCTGGATTTAGGAGGATAATCTTTTGCTGGTTTAATTTAATCCACATCAGTTCTTACATTCTTTTCCCACTGGAAGGCTTCAGCTTTTCTGGCTGTACTGGAAGTAGCATTTGGTATAAACCATAAACCCGTCCTCAGACAACTTAATCTATTCAAAATCATGCTGAAAGGGGAAAAAAAAAGGATTACTATTGCAAACAACGACTTGTATATCTTTATCTAAAGCAAAAAAAAAAAAAAAAAAACCCTCTGAGGGCTGTGACAGACAAGTTTTGTCCTTAGATCCAGCTGTAACACTTCAAAATATTTCTATTTTAGCTGCTGGCTACATTGCTGCACTCTGCCTAGAGCAGAGCTGCCTCCTGCAAGGCTTGAGCTGCAAACACAGCCGAGTCCAGTGGTGATGGACCTTGGATTAGTTTGCATCCTGTGGTACCTGATACAGTGAAGATGCTTGGAGTTTAAGGTCAGAAGAGCTTTGTAGCTTAACAGCCTCTCCCTGTGAGTTTGGTTATTTGGATATAACTGTTGACTGAATCTCCTTTATGCCTCAGTTTAGTGATTCTTCTTGGAATATCCCAACGAGGGCCAAAATGTGCTCGGTTTGTGACTGACTTTTCTGTGCACGTGTGTAATAATCCTCAGATAAACTGATCAGGAGATTGTGCTGCCTAAAGACAGTGTTTGTCTTTCCAGGCACTTAAGGTATTAATTATCAGGATGGAAGGAAACTGAAATGTTTGCAGGGAGTTTTCAGAAACAAGTGTGAGCTGGAATATTGAGGAAGAGGCGAGCTGCAAGAAGGGCCATCTAGCAGATTATGCTTTCAGCTGGCAGGTTCCTAGCCTTCCAATAAGAAAGATGAAGGTAATAAATATGTAGTGTTCTTAATTTATGGCTCTGATACAAGTTGTACTGCTCTACACAGGTCATGATTGAGATTCTCTGCCAGATTACTCTGGAATTGCATCCGTGCTAATCCCATAGCAATGCGATTCTTGAAGCTTAAGGATTCTCCAGAACGTGCTCAAGTGTGTTAGAAGGAGACATAGCGAGATACGAGGTGCTTCTGGAGCAGAGATTAAAGGCAAAAGGAAATGCTTGCTTATCCTTCCAGAAGGTTTTTTGTGTGTGTTTATGTCTCAAATGTTTTTCATTAACGCTGAAATTCCACCTCAAAGTGAGACCATTTGCAAAGAGAACGTGCTCGTTTGCTCCCTCCCGTTAGAGCCAACACCAGAACTAACCTCGGCAGGACAAGATTCAACCCTTATGGTTTTTAAACCATGTATTTTACACCGTGTAACCGCTGGTATCCACCAGCACTGGAACCTTGCCCCGGGTGTAATAAACCCTCATTTAAACCGCTGCACAGTTCAGCTGCTGCCTGGAACAGCTGCGCGGCTGTAATTTGCCAATAGGATGTATTACATCCTGATTACAGTTTCTGCTGAGTGATAGGCCAAAATTACAAGGCAGAAATGTGGCTAATGGTGATAAGGGAGATAAGTCTATTCATCGACTGCCCGTGTTTAATATTTGCAGAACAGATGCTGTTTGTTCCCGTCCGGGTGGATTTGCATGGAAATGTTCTTCCATTCTGCGGGTGTCTTCAGGTTAATGAAGAAACTTTATCAGATGTTTTGGTGAGGGAGGGGGAAGAGAGGTGGAATGTATTGGCCGGTTTCTCCTGCTTTCTCAGCACGGAGGAACCTAAGGGAAGGGATAGGCCTCGTGCAGCAAGCAGGACCAGCGCCGGGTCTGGGATGGAGCTTCTGCTTCTGGCAGGGGTGGCGAGGAAACAACGTGGCCTGTGGTGTCCCCGGCGCCGCGGCCTGCAGGGAGCGGCTCCCTCTGAACAGTGTGGCCCTGCTCCGGCACTAGGAGCCCTGGGCCTCACGGGCTGTGGAAACACACACGGAGCGTGCCCGGAATCGGTCGGCGGCCCCAGGGCCACCACGTCTCTTGCCGGAGCACACCTCAGAATCACAGAGTCACAGGATGGTTGAGGTTGGAAGGGACCTCTAGAGATCATCCAGTCCAACCCCCTGCTCCAGCAGGGACACCCAGAGCACGGGGTACCTGGCCACATCTAGGTGGGTTTGGAGACCTCCAGAGAAGGAGACTCCACAGCCTCCCTGGGCAGCCTGTTCCAGGGCTCTGGCACCCTCACAGTAAAGAAGTTCTTCCTCACAAGGAGATGGAGCTGCCTGAGTTTCAACTTGTACCCATCACCCCTTGTCCTGTCACTGGCCAACACCTCGGAGCGCCCCAGCTGCTGCCCATGGGATGACACAAAGTCCTCGGTTCTCTGCGTGTCCCCCCTCTTGGCGCTTGGGAAGCGATTCCAACTAGTAGCACGGAGGGCTGGAAAATCCTTTGGCAATGCCCAGTGTAAAATGTATATATATATTTTATATATATATATATTCCATGCTTCCTACAGCCATGAGTGCAGGTTCCAGGATGGAGCATTATCAGCAGGGCTCTGATAAGGCTGGGAATGCGTGTGAGGAATGTGTGTATTAAGAGGCTGAGGCCCCAGGCCGGGCCGCGGGGCCCTGTCACACCCTGCTGGGATTTGTGCTCCAGTTCCTCCATAAAAGGCCCTTTTCAAAGCACAAACGGGGGCCTCTGGAAGGACAGCGCAGTCTGGTTTATCCTAATCTTTATGAAATGCTCTGCGACCTCCTTCGGATAAAACATTTGAGAAAAATGAGGTACTCGGGCACAAAAGGCAGCCCTCGATGGAGTTGCAGTTGTGTGGGATCGCAGGGCAGCCATCCAGCAGCACTAACGTGGGAGAGCGGGGCCACCGAGGTGGCTCTAAGAGACCCCCAGTCTTAACAGAGGCAATTTCCAATTTATTCTGTGCTGCTGTGCTGTGTCCAGTGTCAGATCCCAAGGGAACCCAAGATAACGGGCTGTGCATTTCTACTTTTCTGGTTCGTTTTTGTCCATCTGTTCCTACAGTCATCATTATTAGCAAGGCAGGACAGTGAGCGCGGACACTGGGGTAAACACTCGCCCAGCCGAGCACCTGCAGAGCCCCGAGACCAGTTTTAGTCTGCGGAGCAGATTACATGAGTTACACCAGGTGATGCGCTGAGCTGCAGGAAATTTGGGATTTGACTTAATACAAATAAAAGCACTCTCCCGAGGAAAAAGAGACTGTTCGGTAACATCGGAGTGTCAACTACGCCTTCAAAACAGCCATTTAGCTTTTATTTCAGCTCCCTCCTCAAGACATGAAGAGCAGAGGAGGGAGGGTTATAATTTCGGCAGCCCTTTCCTTGGATTTGCCCTATGTCCTGCCATGGATGCATTAATTCCTTCCCTTGCCCACGTTGTTCGTGCAAGCGCTGCACTCGACTCGCCCGCGGCCAAGGGGCCTTAACATTATTGAGGCAATTCGGAGCAGCCAGTGCATTAGAGAGGCAATTGAGAGGTAACAGGGTATCCAGAGTGGAGTGATAAGAGCAAATGGGATGGTTATCTCATGTGAGCGCTCGGGGGTCCTATTTCAAACCGCTAAATGGCTGCGGGAAGTGAGCAGAAAATGCAAGGGAGGGGGCAAAGGGCTGCATTAAACCTCACGGCACAGCTGCCACATGTGGGACCACACAGGGACCTTCAGCTGACCCCATCAGCTGTCAAAGAAAAGTGATGGTGGTCCCTGAAGTGGGACCGAAGCCGCCGAGCGTCGCAGGGCCCTGCAAAGCGCTTCCCTTCGCTAGGCCCGACCTTGCTGTCAAGTCTTGCAAATATAAACCCCATTGCCCTCGCTTCGGGGTGAGTTTTAGCAGGGTAAGTCCCAGAATCGTAAGGTGCCGGGCAGGGCTGTGTAGGAAGCTGCAAACCTTGGCTGCAAAGTGCTTTCCCTCCCAGAGCTGCTCCTGACCTCTCTATATTCACTGCACACGGGAGTGAAACTCTCTTTAACCTGATTACAATTCCCACTCGGCATTTTGGCGCTGGAAATTCAGACATCAATTTGTATCAATTTTATCACTTGTGAAAAACCAGAAGTGTGTCAGATGCATTGTGGCCACCGCTGCTTTTCAGGCTGCAGATACATGGGCTGCAGGTGCCGAGACCATTTCACATTTAAGCCGGTGTTTAATTCTCCTAATAGCACCAGGACTGCAAAGGCTCAGAGCTTCACACCCAGGATTAAGAGACCTCCTAAATACAGAGTCTTAGCGTCGCAGGGAAGGCAAAGAACAACAGGGCTGCCGAGAACTGTTCTTGAAAAACATTTATTTTTTTAATGGGTCGATAGCGCTGACTCCCAAGCCCCGGTTACAGCACAGTTTCGCTCTGCACATCCCTCTGGGGACAACTGCCTCTGATGGAAGAAAAAGCCCCACAAAGAAGCCCCCCAACCGAGCAAGTTGGTACCAACAAACTGTGTTGAATGTTCTACCTCTCCTGGGACTGAGCTCCTGCCGCGGGGCCCAGCTGCAGGATGGTGGTTCCACGGGCCCCAAATGACTGAATAAACGTTCAGCTGCAAAAGAAATGGGGCAGGGAAGGCTGCTGGGACCCAGCGGCTGCTGGTTTTCTTCTCTGCAGACATTTCAAAAGGAAATCTATGCGTTGCGATTTCTCCTCCTGAGCCCCGGCATTAGGAAAGTCAAATACAAACCCCGAGACCGATGTACACAAAATAGTGAACAAATGTCCAGATATTTCTAACCCTCCCTCCCCGTTTACTGTGCCATGATAACCTCAAGAAAACAACAAAACTCCACATTCAAATCATGTTGGATCTAATTTTTAAGAGGGAGGGGTGCAGATGCAGCACACAGCATAGCAACTGTCAAGCAATTTTTAAGGCAAATTTATTCCCATTTATTAAGAGTTGAGTTTTTTTGTTTGTTTGCTTTGCTTTTAAGCTGTTAAGTGACATGATCTCAGCTGGACATTAAGCTTAGGCAATTGAATCCAAGTTTCAGTGAAGTCAACCCATGTTGATCTGAGCCTAGAAGACCGCCAAATATTATTCCCAAGAACATGGATGAGAACAAATTAAAAACATTTAAAATACTCCAGATGCACAACTCTCCAAGAATGAACCTCCCCTCAGAGACCAGCTTGAGCCCAACTAAAACACACACACGCACACGTACGAAGCAGGACACAAGGGCAAGCCTCTACGAACACAATGCTGAATACAGACCAAAGCAGAGCCAAACCTAAATTCCACAGATGCGAGAGCATGGACAAAGTTATGAGTAAAAAAATAGGGTGGGGGGAAGAAACAGGACCCCGGAGAGGGCTGTTTCGTTGGGTGGAATGGAAAATCAAAAGTCTGCCGAATGCAAAGGAAGGGAGCTCTTAGGTGCACGCACAGAAAGGTGGGTAGTGGCTCAGTCGCCTCATCTCTCAGCTGGGTTAGTTGGTTGTGCCTTTCCCCTCCCTTTGAGATCCAGGTGGTGGTGCCAGGAGGTCCGTGCGTTTACTCAGTCTGTGCGTCGTAGTTGGCCCCCCCTGCTTTCTTCAGCTCGTTCTTGATGTAATCCTCGTCCAGCTCTTTGTGGTCACTGATCACAAATTCTTTGGCAAAGTTCTGCGAGAGATAAAGGAGAAGCAGTGTCAGAAAGCGGGACACATGTCCGAGCACTCACACAGAGAAGGGTCAGCCGGTTTCTGTGGCTCTCTGAGCCGTATTCCCTTATCTACATGATAGGGATGATAAACACAAAGCTGTGGAAAACAGGGCTATAGGGATGATGAAACATAACACTTCATCTGCAGACCTTTTTATGTGTCTTCTATACTCGCTGGCTGCAACACCTAACCCTGTGCTACGCAACAGCTCTTCCTAGAGATACATGCACGGGCTTAGCCAAGTTTCCTAAACAGTTTCTGAGAAAGGAGTAACTACTTTAGCAGATTCCCCTGTCCCTTCTCTGAACCATCTCATGGCCAAAACCGAGGTGCTCAACTACAGGCTGCAGTTTTTTCCTGTGGGCTCCAGAATGCTCCGTGGCCTAAGGGTCCAAATGGATCTTTAAGAACCCCTCTATTAACACCCTTGGAAGCAGCAGCTTCCTCCGTGTGTGGAGGCAAGCCAGGCTGGCTGCCCAAGGCCCAGGCCATGGGGCTGTTACTGACATGGACTTGGCCAACGGAGCCAACCTTCGGAGCAGGATCCCAGCGCGCCGGGAAGGTCCCTGTCACCCCTGTCACTGCAGCGAGGGGCTCCTGCCTCAGCGAGACCCTCTGGGCTGCCTCCGGGCAAGGAGACGCTTCCACAAGCAGCACGTTTGGAAGAATGGACCAAATCCCAACGGCTGCAGGGAGCCCAGGAAGCAGCGATGGGTGTGAGCAGCGGCGGTCCCCGTGCAAACGCGCCAGGGGTTCTGCCCGTGCCACCCTCGGGGCCTGGGAGAGCTCCTCATCTGGCAGCGTCCCAAAGGCCTTGCATTGGGACGGGGGAAGGAGCGCGGTGGCGACGGATTCGGCTTGAAAGAGCCTCAGATTTGGCTTGAAAGGGCCTCGCTGGCTCTTTCATGCGGTGGAAAAATAGGAGGGAGAGCAGAGCAGTTCCCTCCCCGCCGCCAGCCGCCCAGGCGGCCGCTGATCCTGTTTCACAGGGCAGGAAATCCTCAGCAGTGAAGAGTTAGTTGCTTAGGGGAAAACAAAAGACAGCTCAGAGCAGCGACAAGGAGCCCTGGCTGCCCTGCTGCTGTTCAGCAGCCCCCAGAAGAAGACCCAAGGAGCAGCGGTGGCTTCACTAAATCACACGCAACACGAAGTAATTACAATCGCTCAACTCTCTTCTCAACACACAGCTACCCAGATGGTTCCAGGGTGATCATCTGTGGGCATCAGCCACGATTTTGCACAATATTAGCGAGACACCTTGCAAGGCTTGAGCAATTTCCCCTTGCAGAGTGATCTCCGTGGGGCAGATGGGTGATGTTCACAGCATGTTCTGCCACTCTGAAATATCCTCTTAGCTGACTGGGCCACCTCTTGTGCCAGATTTGTACCCTCTGGGTGCAATCTGGGTCACTGCTATAAATAACTCCTTACCTTAACACGGGCAGGGCTTGTTTGGTTCTCTGCACTGACACTTACCCACCTTGATGGCTCCAAGGGCAGAAGTTGCTTTGGGGGAGTTTGCTGCCCGGGGAGCCTGATTTTGATATCCCACTTGACCCTCCTTCAATCATCGCCTCCCTCATCACTCTAACTTGGCTCTTTCAGCTCTCAGGGTTAAGATTTGCAAAGACTTGTTCAGAGCTCAAATCCTAAGATGAAGGAAGTCACACAACTATTTCAGAGACAGCCGAAACCCTCTGCTGCTTCCTGTGTCATCAGCGCAAAAGAGAGGAGAGACTCCAGGTCTCACATCAGAAGATGAGACACGTCCCAGCTCCGTCCCCTTTGCAGTTCACTCCTTTTCTGTCACCTCTAAACCCGCCAGAATATAAAGCCACCCCCAACCGCTTTAACCGCTCAGCTAGAGCAAGGCAGAGGTCTTTATTCCTCGCAACTGTCACCTGCAATTTTAAATAACCAGTCACAGCTCCTGCAGAGCACCAGGGCTGCAAAGCCTTGGCCTCAAACGGCTCGGAGGGGCCTGGACCTGTGCGCAGCGTCTGCTCTGGCACCAGATCTCCTCCTGCCCTCACGAGCCTCGCTGTGGGGCGGGAGAAGCCCCTGGTTTCTCTCCTCTCCTCTTGCTGCTCTCCAGCTCCCGTCCAAGGGCTGTGTGGCCCGAGGCACCGGGACCATCTGCGACGCCTCGGCCCTTGCTTCCCTGTTGAGCGTCTCCTTTTGCCTCCTGCATTTCCGCTTCTCCCTCTTCCCCCATCGCCAGGCTCTTCCCGGCAGCGGCAGGAAGCCTCGCGCGTGAATCCCAGCCTTTGTATCCCCCGGAGTCACCCGGACGGTGCACACAACAGGGCCATTTTTCTCTATGGCCCTCAGGACACAGCAGAGGCCGGCGTCTTGGCTTCGCCTCTTCACCCCCCGAGCACGACACGCAGAGCAGAGTGCGCCCAGGGCTCCTCAGGGCGCCCGTCTCACCCAAGCTCCGCTGTTCCTCTGCGGAGCACTTGTCCCAGTGCAGGTCACCGTGTCCTCGGCACCCATTCCAAGTGCAGGACACCAGGGAAAGGGCTCCAGCCCTGCAGACTTTTCCTCCATCTCTGCCTTGGAAGCAGGAGAGCTGCGCTGCAAACTCACTCTTTTCCTTGCAGGCCATTTTATGAGGGGGGAAAACCAGGGTGGAGTAGATTTTCTCGGCAGCCAGGGACGGTGCCGGACACTCGGGCAGCTTCTTGCTGGTTTTATTTATGTCAGGAGCAGCCTACCTTGATGCTCAAATCCTCAGATCCGTGTCTAACCCTCTGACCATCCAACGCTCAGCACAGAGGCCATGGGACAAAAGGCCTTGCAGCTGCTCTGAGTGTAGGGAGAGCTAGAGGGTGACAAGCCCCTACAGACAAGCTGTAGTCTGGCTGCATCTAACCTGTGGGTCCAGCACCCACTGTCAGGCTCCAAGGTAGCAGCAGTGGCCCTGCCAGCTTTTGCACACAACAGCTGTAGCCGTTGGGAGAAGCCAGCCTGGATCTCTGGCAAACGCATCTCTCAGCAATGAAACTGATCCAGCTGATCCTAAAATTACTCCTATGTGTGCTGCATCCCACTGGAAAAGACACAGCTTTGCGGTGTGATGGGAGGCTGTTCATCTTGGCCTGAAGTTCTGTATCAAGTCACCACCTTCACTAGACCAGGGCTGGGATTTCTTGTAAATCCATATCCATGTGTTATGGTAGGAAAGCCAGAAGAGGAAAATCAGTCAAAAAGTACAATTTTGTTTGCATTGCCAGAAGTATCGAATCTCACTCCGTTTACTCACCTTCCTGATAGACACTGCCTCACAGCCATGGTAAAGGACACAGCTATTACCTTTCAAGTTTGATTTTCTGACTGCCTCCCACATAACTATTAAAACATTTTCTGTTCAGAGTGACAGAGGAAACCCAGTGCACACCCAGTTGCATCCATTTCATCTGCCCCAAGACCAGGGCTGTATCCCCAGAGTGGATCCTTCCTCCTTTGGGAGCAGCCTAAGGATGCCTAAGGAAGCGGATCCTGCTAGAGCAGTGGGGAATCCAGAAGGCAAGAGGTGAACAGGAAAGGTCTGATTGTGAGTCCCAAAGTGGCAACTCAGTAAAGCGGTTGACTTCACTAAAGCCAGGCAAATTCCTCACCAAAAATAAAGATGAATAAAATGCCACGGATATTTGCTCACAGAAACAGAGCTGTTTTACCCTGAATACAATTTAGGCAAATAATAGAGCACATGACTTTGTGGGGGTAGAAGTGCTGGAAAAAAACAGAGAAGAGGCAAAGTTCGTGGAAAATGAGAGACAAACTGGCCGGGGCTGCAGAAAAGCTTGGTCTGGTCAGGAGAGGGGCCTCAGCACTGCCTACCGAAGGCTTAAAAGCTCTTGGTGGGAAATGCATTCATGAAGGCAACAGGTTTGCAGGGGGGAAGCGATACTGAGAGGGAAACCAAGTCCTGTTTTCAGTTCTCCAGCATTTACATCCACAGACAGGAACTCTGATGGCCCTTTTGCATCAGTGCAATGATCTGTATTCCAGTGGCCCCTGCAGCGACGGAGCTCCAAACAGCAGCCCTGAGAACAGGTCTCCTGGTTTGAGCCTTTGAGATGTTCTTTTTTGAGCCGTTTCAAGGTTTTGATTTGTTTTCAGACTGAATGAACTGGAATTGGTACGTACAAAGGAAGTAACAGGTAAAACCATCCTTAGTCTTGGGGATGTAAAAGTTTGAGACTCAGCAAAGTTGACACACTCGGCATCACTTTCCTCCATGTGTCTGCTTCCACAATGAAGCCTCCACACAAGTATTTGCCTTGATCCTTAAGTAGTTTAAATACTTTTTCCCCTATCCTACCCTTGTTTTTCACATGCTTCATCCAAGTCTTCTAGATGAGGTAAAGATGATGGAAAGATGATGGAAAGATGGAAAATAAAGAGACATGAAAAATGCTACCGAGTGTTCCTTAAAGCAGTGCTTAAAGAAATGCAAAATGCATTTCCTCACGATGTAAAATAAGTGCGATAAATGCAAATAACATTTTCCTGTAATATAAAAAAGCTAATAAGGATATTCCCCAAATAAGACTTGATATGGATCAGGGGAACTAGGGTTATTTGCACCAGATGAGCTCCATCCCTGTAATTTTAGTTGTTACAGCTAAAAATCAATTGTTCTTTCCTGCTGAGAGATCTTCTGGCAACCCCTGCTGACAATCAGCATCGTTTCCCAGCACCTCCTATAGAATCTGCAGCAGCTGCTCCCCCTTCCAAGCGAGGAATACAAAAGTGAGGGCAATCTGAACCTTCTCCTGAGTAGCTAATGCCCCCCTTATGTTCACCCTATGTCAGGTGCTCCTAGGAGCGCCTTGATAACCACCACATGTGAAGATCCTTTCCTCTACAGATGCAGTGTGGAGGGTTTTGCCTGTGAGGCCCTATTGGAGCTGACTTGCCTTCCCTGTGAGTGTCTTGGCACTGCAGCAGTGTTTGATGGTGCTTGTGCAGCTTTCAGCAGGGCTCACAAGGAGTCCTTGGTACTCTAAAGTCCCCTCTTTAGAGTAATGATTATCACAGATGAGGAACCAACATTGAGGTAAATTTGTACTTTCTTATTATAGCAAATGATTGTCTGTATTTTTCTATGTACAGCTCACATCTCAAATAAGCCCTGCTAAAATCAGAAATAATGGGGTGACTGGGAATGAACTCAGGAAGACAAAAAGCAGGAGAAGTATTGTCAGACATAGCACTGGGATAAGCTTCTTTCCTTATTAGTTATTAAATGGGTTTTCTTAGTTATGAAATTGGAGGATTTATTGCATTTGTTTGTTTCTTGTTTGCTATAGGCTATCTGTAAGGTTACATGCATGCAAAAAGAAAACTGTTTTACACATGTCCAACTGCACTGACTGGGACTGAGCTGCACATGTAGCTGTCTCGGTCACTATCTACTGGGAGCATAAACTCACATCCTTTCTTTCACTGACACTGGCTTAAAGACAGCCAGCAAGCCAGAAACTGGACTTGTGTGGAAAGGCTGCTTGTTTTTGCACAGGAATAGTAGTAACTATTTACTCCCTGTCCATGCAGGAACTGCAGCTTCTTGGGAATAGTTTGTCCTGCTAAGTGTCTCTGCAGTGTTACAAAGTGAATCAGAAATGTCTTCCTACTGGAACTGTCTCTGTGTCACTGGTTGATCTGGATAGTCCTGGATTAGCTCTTCATGGATATCCATTCCCATTAGATATGGGATGTATTGTCTCATGGTCATGCGAGATGCGTACTAAGTCACCTGTACAAATAGTTTTAATGCCTCTATAAAGACACTGTTTCAATTCATTGATAAAATAATTTATAACTTTCTTAAGGGAAAGATATTGCCGTTGACTTTACATTAGAAATAATTTAGAATGGATTAGCCTGAGTTGCTAAAGAAAAATGTACTGAACACAAGTCGTATTGTCTTCATATTTTAGCAGAAATTACCTAGAATATGACTGCTTTTAAGTGACTGCCAAGAGTAGTTAATGTTCCACCATGTTATCAGCTTGCCGAGATTACTAGTCAAATAGGAAATTGGTGAAGTTGCAGATGATCTTTAATAAAATTGAGGGATAGAGTGGCATTTGGGAATGTTATTCAAATCAACAGAAATCCAAGTGTCTAAACATATTTTAAAAAAATTTGGACTTAACTCTTCTATGAGTTATTCATTAGTACTCTATAACTTTATCTCCAATTACAATTATACAATTTCAGTTGTTTCACATAAATAGAGGCTTGCTTCCCTATCTACAAGGGATCATGAAAGTCTCTTTTCAGGACCCTTTGTATTGCTGTTATTTAGCAAGATTTAATACCAATGCTTATCTCCTGAGAGGAATATGTATATGCTTCTTATGTAAAAACAATCTTCTATATAAGAGAAATTAACTGATGAACAGAGCTCTTATTCTCATTCTCCATATTATACTTTTGAAGATTTCCTTATATAGGCAAGAGGAGAATTGAGGAAGGTATTTGAGTATTCAGCCTGTTCCCCCCACACAGTAAGAAAGACCATTCTCAGGCATTAGAGTTGGTGCTGGATTTAGTTGAAAGAGCTAATCTTGCTATAAGTACCTCTTCAGAGGAAACATAGGCTAAGCATTAATATCTTCCCAGCTGGAGTCAGGCAGTTCTTTGGGGCCTTCTGCAATTCCCATCTCTCACAGTAGCTGGTTGTTTTCCCTGGTTTTAACAGTCATTGAGCTTGAAGCCTGATGGAACAAGCCCCATGTCTCAACACCCTGCTAGGCCTTGAATGAGTTAAGTGCTGTGCTGGGATTGGGCAGACAAAGCCAAGAAAAGTCCTTCCAAGGTGCGTTTCTCCTTTTTCCTGATACGCCCAATGCCAAACAGAGGACTATTCAGATCTAGTTAGCTATTAAAGGCTGTTAGTTAATTGGTACTGATAGGAACTTTAGACTTCAGCTGACTGTATCCATGAATTCACTGTGCAGAGACAAAAGGCCTCAAGAAGAAAAAATTACACAAGGTGTGTGTTTCCCCAACTAACTACTAAGCTCAAGGATGATCTGATCCTTCCCCCTCATGTCCATAGGGTTAGGAGAAGACAGCTGAGGGCTAGGAGCAGAAGGGAGCAGTTACCTGTACTACTTCTTTGACCAGCGTCTTGTCCGTCCCGGTCTTGGCTCTCTGCAGGCCGCTGACGCTCTCTCCGATCCAGGTGATGAGGGCGAACTTGACTCGCTTGCTCATGGCGTCGCCGGTGGTGAACCGGACAAAGCCAAACAATCGCACGTCATCTGGAGAGACACAACCGAGGAGAGCCGTGAAAAACAAAGCATCCTCACCCCGCTCTTTTGTGGGGTGGGAATATTCCTCCCAGCTTCATGACCAAGTCATTATGACACTGAGTGTCTGCTAGGATTGCTGTGGGTTTCGAGGGGCCCTGCAGGGCTTGAAGCATGTGTCAGCGTTAGGCCGTGTCTGCCCATGGAGCTTGGAGCAACTGGGAGGGCTCTGGCTCTGCCGGCTGCACCATTAGTGATGAGTTTGGAAGGGGCTAAAAAGAGTCAGTTCAAGGGCCACTGAGCCAACCCAGGGATGCCTCCAGTCAGATCATTCATCTACAGGTCACTTAAGGCTGGGTTATCACTTGCTTGCTTTCTTTCTCACAGGGTAGCAAGACAGCAAGGATGTATTTTATGTATTTTATAACATACATTCTGAAACTGGCCACTGTGCAGGTCTGATTCTTTCCCCTCCTTCCCTTTAGCAAAACTTTTGGCCCCCTTGTAGAATGAGTTTACAAGGGGCAAAGCAGCAGGAGCAAAAACCATCTGCAATGACTTTTCCAGCTGGGCTTTCCTACTCTAAGACCTGTAGAGAAGGGGGAACATCAGACCTTGGATTTTAAAAATGTTCTAATCCTTGCTTCACAGCTGGATTCTGCTATATCAGGCCAGACTGGAGTTATTTAGTCTGGTTATGGTGTAAAGCCCTTGCAGACTCCTTGTCTGGAGGAGGTGGGTGTCTCACTGCAGGCTGACTCACACGCCGAGGTGCAGGACGCCTCCATGACCACAAGCACAGCAGGGCCTGGGATCTCCACTCATATCCCTGGTTTCAGGGCTCAGGATTCAGGATGCTGAATCCGGTGACCAGGATCATGCAGGAACGTGGAGCAGATGGGCAGCTGTGCAACAAACCTCATCACAGCCACGTCATCCTTGCCAGCGAACACCTTTGCAGGCAAGCAAGATGACTCAGAAGAATAAACTTTGAGAAGCAGCATGTTAATCCCTGTTGTGACCAGCTCAGCAGGGACTTTGTTTTGTCTATTTGCTGTCTTGACTACTTGCCAGGGGAGAACACAGTCTCAAAGCGTGGTAACATGTTTCCTAATACCACCTCCGTTTAGGTTCTTCACAGCACTGATAAATGGTCAGGAGAGCCCCAGGAGCTCGGCAAGAATCGGGCCTATATTGTCCATCCTCAGAGAAAAATAAAAGGGGGGCTGGAAATCAGTGCGGGGGAAAAAAGAAAGAGATTCTCTGAAGTCTGACAAGTGTCAGAGCTTGTTTTGTGACAGAGCTTTGCTTTGCCAAAGACTGAGTAAATAGAACTATCTTTGAAGAAAAATATCAATTTCTTAAGCATTAAAATCTCCATCAATTGTCTCCACATTTTGTTCCTTATATGGCTTTTTGCTGTTGAAAAAAAAGATATTGGGAAAATACCTTTTGGTTTAAAAAAAAAAAAAGGGAGGGTCTGTAAGACTGTGTAAAACAAATTCCACTAAGAATTCCAAATCTGAAACAAAAAAAGGTGGAGTTTGTTCAAAAAATTAGACATACAAATGGATCTCCTGGAGAAGAACCACGTGCATCAAAAGTGAAGGAAAACAAAATTTCTCTGGTGGATGCCCTATTCCTGGCAAGTATGAGAAGCCTCTGGTGAGAACTCGCCTTCCTGACAGCAAATAAATCCTCTTGTCCAGATTGATTAGAACCGTAAATGAACCGACAACCAGAAAATGCCCAAGGTGAAGAGAGACTGTAAATCCCTGAATGTTGCAACTAACAGTTATAGGGGGAAAAAAACTCTTGCTTCCCCAGATCCGAGAGTAAAGGAGGCCACACTTTGCTAAGAACTGTGCTGTGGTTCCTGTGGGAACCCGGTGCCAGAAGGCAATTTAATGTCATCAAGTCCTGGCCCCTGCTATGCTGTAACCGTGTCACAATCTTTGTCATGGGCCGATCGCTTTTCACCTTGAATATATAGGTTTTCTACCTTGCTACTTATACTACAGGCTGCCGCAGATCCTGAAGACTGCTTTGGGGTTTGGCCCTTTATACAGATAACGTGCGAATATGATGAAGATTTCCCAGTTTTTGCAAGAATTTGTGCAGAGCTTTTTCATAGTGACTCTTGAAGGAGCGTATCTGGCAGCATGAGCTTTAACTTGACATGAGCCCACAGGTCACTGGCAGCAGGGGCATCTCAATGCTCAGAGGAAGAGTTTGAGCACTTGCTCATTCTGGTTGAGAGCAGCTTCATTAGTGTCATCTAAGAGGGTCCAAATTAGCTGCTCCCTCTGAGCTCTCATCTTTTAGAGCACCTCGAGCTTGCTGAGTCTGAGCAACTGTTACCTCATCGTGTTGAGTCCTAAGATGTTTAATGAGCAAATGAGGTTAGACTTAGGACTTGGACTTTGGCAATATTTCCCCAGGGCACGTTTACCTGTATGGGCTTGAAGGGTTGAACCCGAGCTGGGTGCTTTCTCCTCGCCTCTCCCCATGGAGGTTATACCCACATTTATATCCACACTAGGCAGCTCCTCAGCTACCTTGGGATTGTACTGAATAAGAATTGAATATGAGCTACCAGCATGTGATGCTTTAACTTAACGAGCCAGGCTGTGAATTGCAGGGGCAGATAAAGCCAAGAGGGAACATGAGTCAAGGCTCTTAAGAGGCCTCTTAGTTTCTAAGTGAGCTCTGGGAGCAGACGGGGAGGATTCCAGCATGTCCCTCCAGCTGCTGCTCTGCAGCCCAGAGCAGCAGCGCTTGGGAATCCCGCTGGGCTGCAACGTGTTCGGAGCGATAACGGCATCAAAATCAGGCGCTTTTATAGGCACAGGTTTCCTCTTTCACACTTAATCAGTTCTACCCTGGCACCTCATCTCACTGTGCTGGAAGTCCTCACTGGCAACTGCACTCGAAATCGCCAGGCATTAATATCCTCATTTTCACAAAAAAAAACACGTTGGTTTTAGGAATTTGCTGGGTGTGTGGGAGACTCTTACAAATCATAGAGAGACAGCAGATTTCCTCTGGAAGAGGAAATCCTGCCTAGCTCTACACAACCACCTTCCTAAGCCATGCATTTCAGGGCAGAGAGAAGCAAATAAGGCGTATTATTAATAGAAGTGGGTAGAACAGAAATAGCAGCTTTATTTGAGAGGATTTCACAGCTACAAATGGCAGAAATTAACAACGTTAATTCCTACTAATGTCATCACTCCTTTAGCTGCAATTGGCAAAAGGTGCTTGCAAACCACGAAAAGCACAATGAATGCCTTAATGAACATTGCTTAGCATCTTTCTCCAAACCTCTTACTTATCAGTAAGGCAGGATTTTCCAAATATACTGATTAAGCTGCTCTTGGCTGTCAGCAAAGCTTGATGCCAAGTTGTAGAGGTTTCCTAAATGGAATTCCTTTTTTTCCCCCTGTAATTCAGCTGCACTAAAAAAAATCCCCATTGAAATGCACTGAATCACTGGGAAAAGATATTAGCTGCAAGAAAGAAACACCCTGGCAAAAGCTTCAGTCTTAGAGCTCTGAATGGCCAAGCACGAGACACGGTGAGAAAAGGCCACCACGCCAGGCCTCACCTGCCTGCTAAGCCAAGGTCAGGCATCTGAGAGCAAGATCCGCCTTGGTGACCTATGCCATGAATTGCCAGCAGCATCTGACAGACTGCAGCAGGGATTTGCTTCAGTCAGCATTTATTCATTTTGTGATTAATTTGCAGATTTCCCACCTTTTCACCCAAACTCTTTTAGTCACCCAGCGAGGGGGCGAACCATGTTCTTTAAGTCATCTAAGATGAATATTTTGTCCTCAGGAGCATAAACAAGGCAAGGAGGACCCAGCATGGGCCACGTGTGGTCAACAAGCAGTTGGTCACAGAGGTCCCGTGCTGGCCTCTGTCTTGAACTGGGGATAGACTGGAGCACCAAGGGGAGGGAATGGGGGGCTCTCATCCTGATCCTTGGTCCTTTTCTCCGTAGGAAGGAAAGACTTCGTTAGAGTCAGATAGAAGTCAGAGCGGCCCCAAAACCATCCCTGTCCCTAGGTCTTCCTTTCAATGTATGTATGGGAAAGTAAGGAAGACAAAAGGTTTTGTCTGTGAGGTTTTTTTTTTGTTGTTGTTTACAAATCTCAGGTGGTTTCCTACAGCTTGAGATGCCAACATAATGGTGTTTATCAGTGATGTGACTCTCACCCCTTATCTCCCAAGCTCTGTGTACATCAGTTAGGGCCAGGCTCTACATGGGAATTGCCACAAGCCCTGAAGAGTCTGCATTTATTTCCAGAGTTGGTTCTGTTCTTATTTGCTTCCTAATATCTTATGTCAAGCAGAAATAATTTTGTAGTTTATTTATTTCATACGAAAGATCTTCAGTTCTTCCTTGTGCTGAATGTACAGTGTGGTTTTGATGTCATCTTTTCAGACACATGAATAACTATCCCCTTTCATGCTCACATTGCAATTATTTATCTGGACTGGGGCTTTTCAAATAGAAGGGTCATTATTTCCTTTGTCAGAGATGCACTGAGAAACAACTGTTCACATATGAGATGGAGGAAAATACCGTATTTGAACCTCTCTATTACTTCAAGGCCATGTCCACATTAAAGAAATTAAACTGCAGACATGGACTATGCAATGCATAGACTATGTTGCTCAGTAATATTTGCACAGAAAATGCACCAGGCTGACCAGTGCAGTCAGGTATCACTGTTAATTAATTAAACTTTAAGCCTCTGTTTTGGACTAGTGTTGTAGCTCAGCATTTCAACTGTACGTCATGCAACTCCTCTCAGCAACAGCACTGCCAGCCCAAGTAAAAGACTAAAATTAACTACAAAAAAAAAACCCAATCCTCTTACATCCTTCCGTACAACAACCTTCAATTCTTATCTGTGTTCCTGACTCCAAATCCGCCAGCTCAGCTCCTCAGCTTTTTGTCTGGAATACTGACGGCACGTACTGCTAACCACCAAATTACTGCTGTGTCTGGATCCCGGCCGTCTGCAGGGCCAAGAGCTGGAGCTGTGAAGCAGAATGGATCAAAAGCCTTGAATGAAGTCCTTGTTTAACACAGAGGTAATCTTTGCTGTTAAGCCACACCAAAACAGTCCTGTGCCAGAAGACACGGGGTGCCTGTCCCGCGTGTTCAATGACCCTGACACAGTTAATGTCCTCAACTTACGGTCTCCAGGCTCTTCAGGTCAGGCAAAAGGAAATGCAGCCATGTACATGGGACACTGTACAGGACTCGAAGAGGAAATGTTACTAGAGGCCGCCTCCTAGTTGTCTAAGGCCAAAATGTGCTGGTCTTCTTGTGGTCTGATATGGACCTGAGCGTGACAGCAAATGAAGAGCAGCAGCTCAGGTGCTGGTGCAGCTATAACCATGGGCCCCTAAACAAAAGGGCATTGAAGAATTTCCTACCATGTTCTTTTTGTCCTTGAAGATGGGCAATCACTGTCCCCAAATAATGGGAAGGGGAAGGACAATGGTTTGATGATGCATTTCCTCACACTTCTCCGCCAGCACACACAGCGTAGTAAATGGTCCAGAAAGAGAGAGGCTGCACTGTGGGATATGTGACATGTAGTTCCGATGGAGGCGGAATAATTGGGAATAGAGCAACGAAACCTGCACGGGATGCACAGGGAGAGTGGTGGTTCCCGAAGCCGATCCGGGCCCCTTGCCCCAGGATCTCAGCATCTCGGCCGTTCCTGCGTTTTGGTTCATTGAACCGCAGCCCACGGAGCGTTTCCGGAGTTTTGCAGAGAGCTGCTTTGTCACAGGGTCTTTTTGAGCTGCTACAACCAGCAAATAAAGCACTTTCACTTTCTTTCCCTGGGTCCCCACCCACTGCTGCTCCCTGAGAAGGTTCACAGGCCCAGCAATGAGTTGGGCCATGGTCCACATGGAAGGTGTTATGTATGGAAGGAAGGACAAGAAAAAATATGACCCCCTAAAAATCCCCTTGTTGTTGTTACCCCAGCCCTTCGTTACTCCTTGCACAAGCTGCATACCCATGAGAAGCAAATCCTCCAAGCCAAAGGACTTCTTGGTCCCAGAGCCACATCAATTAGCACCCATAGACTCTGCCTGCCCTGTAATTTAATGTCCGCGAGGAAAGCGGGATGTACAGCACGCTGAGGGTGCTTTTAATGGGAATGGCTATTAAATAAAGTGCAAGGCACAGATGTTTTCCACTTGGAGCAGCACCAGCTATTGCTGGTGCCTGAGTGGAGCAGGGCAAGCTCTGCTGAGGGCCCTGGCAAGGCTTGGCATGCTGAGGTTTGCAGTTTGAGCTCCTGCTCTCACCTTCAGCCACCACATTACCCTCTGCCTCAAAGGGGCAGCTGCAGGACTCTGTGGCTTTCAGCAGTGTTTTGCACAAAACAGGAATTCAAAACAAGGAAGGAAGTTTATTATGTGTCATTTTTTTTTCTTTTTTTTTTATCTTTTCCTAACATTTGCTGTAGCGCTTTGCATGGACAGCAGCTCTTATCCCCTCCGGTAAAATTTAGAAGGACGAGAAGGGAAGAGATGTAGCAACAGGAAGGAACAACATTTAGCATCTCTTCCCTTCCTTCCTCCTCTTTCTCCACTGACTCTGTTCCAGTCAAAATATTCCACCCAGCTCTGCCTCACAGGCACGTTTGGCACCTTTCCTGCAGATGGGAGGGAATCTCTAACCCCACGGCTGGCACCAGCCCTGATTTCTGACTCTCCAGGGGTCTGGGCCATGGGGAGCTGCACACATGGAGCGAATGAAGCCACCTCTCTTCCTTCCTGCCCCAGGGCAGCAGCCCTTAATCCGTGGGCAGAGGAAATTCTTCTCTGACCCTCAGCCAAGAGCCTGTACTTGAGTTTGCCCAACTCTTTAAAGCCCAGAGGCAGGTTTAAGAACAACCTCTGGGGCCTCTGGTCTGCCAAACAGCCACCTGTGGAAGGTGCAAAATGGGAAAGAGGGAGAAAATCCAGCAGCCATAAGGGATTTAGCTTCACGTTTGGGCTAGCAAGGGGCCCCAGACAACCCCAAAGAAGCTCTTCTTCATATCCTCTCTCATCCTCCATATGCCTAAAACATGCAGAATTTCCCTTTTGCTGTAAAAATATTTAGTATTGGGGCCAGCTGGTGCAAAACAAAGTTTTCTCCAACTCTATCTGTTTTAAGGCCCTGTTTATAAATACAGGTTTGGCACCCGCGAGTGATGGCAAGAAAACAAACCTGGCCATACTCCAAAGTGCAGTATGGGCCTCCATTAATTGTTAAACACATCCAACCAGTGACTGCTCTCTGCCAAAGCCCTCTCCCTGCCCAGCCACTCGACCAAAATATCCCTTTTGCTAAGGAAGGGAACATAGGAACTGTTCCTAAAGAGGGTACCACTTCAGACAAAACATTAAGAATTGAATGAGACAAAATAAAGATAGACTCCTTAAAGGCAAGGAGAGAAAATAAACAGGGAAGGTTGTCTGGCAAGCCTCAGATGCCTAGAGATGCTGCTTCACTTATCTCAGACATGAGAAGAGCAGAGAACAAAGGCGCTCAGAGGTTCAGGCTGCTGAACTCCAAGAGAACCATTGACTCTTTAGATACTGTTGGCATGAGCTCCAGAAGTGCTGACACCTTGAAATCTCTCTGGACACAGCCAGGAATTGAGGTGCTCAGCACCTCAGGGCAAATAAATAAAGAAATAGAGTAATTAAAAAAAAAAAAAAAAAAAAAAAAAAAAAAGAAAAAGACGTTTCCTATCTTCAAAATGGACTTGTGTTGGAGAACCAAGGACAAGCCTTGGGCTTTTCTTTATGCCTGGTTATTGTTTGTTTGTTTCTTTTTCCTTTATGTTCCACATAAAGAAAAGTTCCATGGAGAAGGGTTCTTGTAGTACAAGTCACCAGCTCTCTGCTTGCTTGCGGACCCCAATTCAACCCCAACTGTTTGAATTTGTGGCAGATGCCAAGCTTTTGTGAGAATCCCCCACGCAAAGGTCTCAAGAACAGCTGGAAATTAGCACTTAAGTTGGCCGTGACAAGACCCCACTGCAAATCTCTTGCAAGAACAGGCTAAACCCTGTGATTTCGTGACTACTTCCCAGGGCTAGAATACAGTTTTTCCCTAGGAACTCTATTTATTGATCGGAAGACCAGTCCTGCCCTCGTTTCAGTCAGTGGGAATCCTCTCCTCAAACTCGACAAAATGCAGCCAAGCCCCAGGACTGGGAAAATTAGTGAGACTCTCTCAGTCATCAGTGTTTTAACCCATTCGAGGCTCTGCATTCACAGATTTGCCCCATCTTGGGAAGAGACAGATTGCTCGACACCCAGTTCCTTCACAGGCCGATATATAAGTCTAAAAATACAGAAGATTAAGCAGAACCTTGGACTACAGGGCAGCTAAGCGAGGTGGGGAGGCTTTGTTGGTTGCAGACATCAGGCATTAGTTATAAGTGCTTCACCTCTCATGTCACCTCATGCCATTATTAAATATCAGGCAGGATAGGGTGAAAAAGAACATATAATGCCCCCAGAAGTTATTCTGGAGGAAATCAAAGCACGTTTTTGTAAAAGCTGTCAAAACTTAAGATGAGATTAAGCTAAATGTTTCCCCGTGCGTTTTCATTCCGCCGCAGGGCTTTGTTGCTGACAGCTGAGCCACGAGCTGCCACGTCCAACACGGAGCCGCAGCGGCCCCGGCTCTGCGCTGCCACGGCCACAACCGTCCCCGGCACCCAACCGCTCCGCAAATCCGCATTCCTGCTCCTCCGAGGTGCAGAAATCAGAGCGAGCCCTCGAACTGCCCTTACGGTGCTGCTGCGGATATAATTTCCAAGGGAAGAATGTCCTTGCATAACAAGCCGCGTGACTAATTCCTTCTAGCCGCAAAAACTGGGGGATCTTTTGCTCTTCGGTGAGAAATGCCCTCAAACGGCCACACTGAACAATGGCCCCTGGCTCAGCGAGCGCTTTATCCGGTTCTCATTCAGACGGGGAAGCCGTGAGAAATTGGGGAAAGGAGGTAAAATCCCCAGGGCGCCGGGGTGAGACAAAGGAGCGATGGGGCTCCGGACTCTGGCTGCCACGGAGCGACTTGCGCTGTGGGGCAGCGGGAAAGCGGATCACGCTGGACAGACGGGGAGCGGCGGGACACGCTCCGGGGCGGCCGAGTTTCCTCCAGCTCTTTCTCCGGCTCGTCCCGGGCCGTGGGATGCGGCGTCCGGATCTCATCTGGGAGCCGCCACGGGCGGGCTTACCTGTGCACTTCCTTGTGAAGGTCTCGTAGTCCACCCCTTGGTCTCCGGGGACGATCGTGGAGCCATCGTATTTAAACGTCACCCTTGGAGAGGGGGAGAAGAGGAATACGTTTAAATTCACCCCTTAGGAAGAGGAAACAGGGAAGGAGGTATATTTAAAGTCACCCTTTGGGAAGAGAAAAGGGGAGATAGGAGGTGATGTGTGTAAAAAGCACCCCTAGGGAAGGAAGAACGCGGGAGATGGGAATCAGTTCATTCAGCTCATCCTTTAGGGAGGCCAAAGGGGCGATGCGTTTCAGCCACTTGGGGAAGGGGCCGGCGCGGTTGGGAGAGCCTCCCGGTGAGGGCGCGGGGCTGGGGCCCGCACGTACCAGTTGACGGCGGAGGCGTCGTCCCTGACGAGGTTGTAGGCCTCGCGACAGGCCTCCTTGTCGATCTTGGTGGCCATGGGGGCGGCGGGGGGCGCGGAGCGGCGCGGAGCTGGGG